CCAGCTGGGTTCTGCCGTGAGCTGTGCTCACAAAATGTGGCTCTCACGGGATATATAGCACACACCCCTTAGAAAAGTCATTGAAGACCACATTTATAGCAGCCTGTGTTTAATCTGTGGGTCTCGTTCCTGCTGTCTGGCATCCTCTGGTTGAAGTGCGGGATGTCACACTTCAGTGCTTTACGTGCTGAAATTGCAGGTTTACAGCTCGAGGGCTGTTTGCAGCACCTCAGCTTTCCGTTATTCTTTCTTTTGGAAAGCCAAACCCGAGTTTATCCAATAAAGCATAATTATCTGTGCTTCTCATTCCTGGCAGCTGCACACATCTCTCAGAGCTGCAGGACAGACTCTGCCTCTGACTTTACCTTCTGCTAAAGCCCAATTTAAGTAGCCCGACCTCCTCCTCTTTACATGGAGCAGAAGGAGTTGCTGTCACCACTCAGCCTGTGTTGGTAGGCTGAAGCTTCTCTGGTTTCTGGCTAAATTAATAAAATAGTGACTTTTTTGGTTTGTTGTTCTTTTAATTTGATTTTATTTTTTTAAGTGCCTGCAGTTTTACCTGCTGAAGCATGTACTGACAGGAGCCTTACAACAGCATCAGAGGAACGCTTGGCCAGAGATCGGAAATACTTGGCAAGGCAGGGTGGTAATAAACTGTATAACCTCATGAATATTTTCCTTTATACTTCAGTAAGGTCCTGTTCATTTCTAGTCCCGAGCTGGCCGAGCCAGGCTCTCAATGTTCCAGTTGTTGTCTGTAAATCCAAGGGATGAGGTTGTCTGAAGTGGCTGAGGCGAGTGTTTTCTTTCTGGAGACACTGATGTACCATGTCTGCTCCCATTCCTTGGGCTCAGCCCTGGAAATTGTAAACAGTTCCACTCTGAACCAGACCAATTCCTATTCCGAAGTAAATGTTTATGTTGTTTTCTTTAGGACTTGACATGATCCACTGAATTTTTGGGTGCTGATGTTCAGTAATTGAAATTGGCCTGCTGTGACAAACGTTGCGTTTCCCAGCGGTTCCCCAGCTTGTGCCATTTGTGAGGAGTCACACAGACGAATTTAAGAACACTGCACTAGCAATCCCCCATTCCCTTTTAACTCTCACCTTCTATAATTCCTATTTAAGCAAGCTGTTAGAACAAAAACACTCTGCAGTTTGGGGTCCAGAAGTATTTTCTAAAAAACTAAATGCTGTTTGTTCTGTAGACCTTACTCACTCCCCCGCCCTGCCGAAAACACACAGAAACAAACTGGTTGCCACAGAATCAGCTAACAGTGTGCTGGGAGCCCCTCGCTGGTGTTTTGGTAGCTAAACTTTCCCGTGTTTGCCTTGAAAATTTAGCCTGCTGTAAGTAAAACGGAACATCCCTCGTAATTATTGCAGGGTAAGAGTTATCTCACTACCTGCTCTTCCACACAACTTCAGTTTGGCAATAGAGTGGAATTCTTCTCCATTTACATACTGATCTGATAATCACAGAACCTCATAGCTGGACTTGATGAAGAGCTTAGTGAGTGTTCCAGTGATCACAGAAATTAGCTTTGTGAAACAAATGCTCTTTGGTTTCTGCAGTGATAAGGAGGATTAAAGGGACATGGAGGTTGACCTGTCTGGGTGATAAAGTTCTCCTTTCACTGTGAGTTGAGCTGTCAGCCTCTGGAATGTGAGCCATGGTTTTTCTGGAGGCTGGGACAGAATTTTGATCAGATACCGTTATTTATTTGTGCTATCATTGATCTCTTCCCTGGGAGCACGTTATTGATGGCTGCTGGGTGTTTGATTAGGAGGACCTTTCACCCCACCCAGTGCCACTGCTGAGCTGGGGAGGGAGTGAAAGGCCAGAGTGTTTGTCAGCGATGGGTCGCTCACAAGGGCTGTGCTTTGGTAACCACATTAATGGTCTTTTGCTGGGTGGATTCAAATATTTTCCAACATTTGGTGGTACCAGCAGAATTTAAACAACGCTGAAACCTTTTGAGAAATGCCTTCACCAGGATCTGTCATCTTCTTCGGTGAAAAATCTGTCGGCTTTTGCCACCACCCTGCGTGCCTGTGCTTACCAAATCTGTAATCACAGTAATTATAATTTGTGTACGAGAAATCAGACAGTTTTTATTCCTGTAGCTGGAATGGGAACAGCTGAGCAGAGTTGTACAGTCATGTTAGTGTTGTGTAATGTGCTCCTTCTGCTTGTATGTTGTCTGTATGGAAAAACAGGGTGTAAGCACTTTGTACAAGTAATGCATTTATTTACGGACTGAAAGGTACATAGATTGAAAATGATGTTTTCTGGTTGGCTGATCACAGAAGCAGGAATTCTCATCTCCTCCTGTATCCTGACTTGTAATAACCTGGAACAAATCACTTCAACCCATTTGGCCGCTGGTTTTTCCCTCGTTTTTAAAGTAAAACTGATGTAGCCGGGTGGTAAAAAGCCATCCCAGCGCTGCGCATCAGTGATAGCACTGCTGGGATTGGAGTCATCGTTCTTGCTCTGTATCCAGCAATCAGGATTGTTTCTTATTCTTTGCAAAACTTGGTGTTTCCTGCTCTGCTCTTGCTAAAGCGTTTCACAGCTGCGGGTTCCTGCTGCTGCCTGCCGTTAAAAATGGGATCTGTTTGATCCACTTTGCACGGAGGCTCCTGAAGGTCTCCCTGGCTGCCCTGTGCTTTGAGCTAAGCGCTTGCCCACAGACATTTCACCTGAGAGTCTAGTCCCTGAAGGCCAATTAAAAAGCCTGGTCCTGCAATTAGCACTGGCTTGCAGGGAGGAGGATTTCATGTCAAGTTTTCAGCTTTTGAGCATTTGGGTGGATTTGTTTAAAACGCTGTTCACTCAAGAGTTCGGCTCGTCGTGTGGGTGACTCCAGTGATATCTGCTGAACGTGGAGGACGTGACATGCAGCACGTAACAATAAATTGGAACGTACATTTCTGTAAATAAAGATGAAATTTTTGCTGTTTTTATTAACCACAAAGCCCCTCCCAGGAACAGGGCGGCTGTTCCATTCAGGAGCCCGTGTCCACGTGTACCCTGGCCTGGGTGCAGGGATGAACAGCTCTCCCTTTGGGAACTCGCTGGGTTTTTCAAGCACTAAATGGAAATACAGGCAAATTGCTGCTTCACTTATTTATTGCTAATAAATACCATGTGTGAGGTTTGGGGTTTTTTTTCATTTTTAAGGGGGGACAGTCTTAGAGGGAGCAGGATTAGAAGTACATCATTTAAAAGTTTGAATTGTGAAGGTTGTTTTTTTCAAGAGGAGTCTCGTTGGTAAGGTGTGGAGGTTAAATTTGTCTTGACTTGTATGTGCATCTTGCTAACGTGTTGTGAATCTTCTCCACTTGGAAGAGACCTGAAGGTATTGTGGAAACTCTTAAAGCTTTTTGTCTATATTCCATAACCATTAAAAAAATTATATATTTTCAAGATGTTATGTGTCAAAGTCAATATTCTAATGATCTAAAACCAATTAGAGTATGCTCATAGCCATGCTGCTCATCTCATGACTGTGCCGCTTCAAGTTTTAAGTTCTGGCCATGCTTTATTTTGTGATGCTTTTATGAACCCTCATTAAAATGTGAAATATTAAATTAAACCCCATCAAGTTATTAGAGCATTTAGCTGTTATTTATTTGATCCACTCATTTAACCTTCAAGACACTGTAATCTTTCCAAGTACAATGAGATTTGTTCTGCGTGGAGCACTGAGCAGACTTCAGAGCTGGTGGTTTGCAGGGTCTGCATATATTTTTATAAATGAATGTACTGTGTAAGTGTTAGACTACAAATTCTCCATTCACACAATCAGTATGTTGAGTAAAGGAGGTTTTTAGGCTTAACATGATGCTGTTCTTTCCAATACTGAATAAATATTTCCATTTCTGTTCAGACTTCTCTTTTGGCCTCTGTGCGGAGCCTTGTCTGTGAAAGGGGAGAGCAGAGTTAATATAGCCTGGAAATTATTTAAGTTACTGATTTTATGAGTTAAATCAGAAAGCAAGAAACCTTTATTTAAAGCATGATCTTTGCTTTGCTAAGTATTTGTGTTATTCAGAGTTTTCCTGTGTAACTATTTCCCATGTAACTGTACCCAGTTCTCATCACAAGGTGCTGGTATTACCGGGTACAGCTTTTAGACTAAATCAGAAGCATGCTTTTTTCACACCTCAAGTAGCTGCTGTCTATTTAAACACTTACACAGCTTAATGTACATAATTCAAAATGTGAATGTTTAATTTTTAAAATTGATTAATAGTGCAGCTCTACCAGTTTTTGTTTGTTTTTTTTTCCCCTTTCAGTGTGAGTTGTGTCAACCTGAATTAGAGCGAGAACTGGAAACCAACTAAAATACTTTCTCATGCTTAAAATATTTGAAGTATCGGGTAGCTGGGGAAAGAAAGCTTTAACCTGAATGCTTTGCATTTAAAAATCAACTGCTTTTTATTAACAAAGGAAGTCTTGGCAGTTTGTATGGACGAGCCATACACAGGAGCTCCCCTGCGCTGCTCCCCGAGACCGGCTGCTGTCGAGCAGGAGACTGGGACGGCCGGACCCCAGAGCTTCTGCTCTCGCCCACTGTCACCATGCTTGTGTCACCATGCTTGTGTCACCCCTCGGGTCTCTGCTTTTTTTGTTGGGTTTTTTTTTTGGTGGAAACCTTTTCTGCCTTTTGCTCTCTGTTCATTAAGCTTTATCTGTGGATATATGCGTGATGAATCCCATTTGCTTCTGTGAGTGAAGGATTACGCCTCATGTACACTCTCTTGCTTTTCATTGTTGAAGTGATAGAGAAGAAAAACCTTTATTTTCCATCAGTTCTGTCTTCTTCAACACATTGACAGTGGTTTGTGTAGCTTTATAGTAAAGAGAGACAGCTCTGGGCTGTGGTGGGGTCTATGTGGGTAATTCTGCTATTCTGCTGTTTGTACAGAAAAGTGTTGTGCATTCATCTCACACACATGCTTGTTTCTTTGTTTTCCTTTTTCCTACAGTTCTCTACGTCCAATGATTTTCTTCACTCTCCAAAGTTAAGGCCCTCTCAAGGAATGCCAGTCAGTGACGAGGTATTTTTTAGTAGAAAAAGAGCTTCAAGGAATTTATTTCAGAATAGTCTAGATTTTAACTCTGAGCATTCTTCCGTTTGTGCTGGTAAGTACGGACACAGGAGAGTATTTCATCTGCCACTGACAAAATAGATTTAGAAGAACCTGAGCATAAATTTATAGCTTCACAAGCATGATTTATCATTTGTTGATTATTTGTTTGGTTGTCTATTTTCATTTACTACGAAGAATGGAGGACTAGGCACAGGGCTACGCCTCCAGCTGAAGCAGGTGGCATCAGTCCCATCCGTGCTCCTGGGGAAGCCAGCTCAAAACTTCAACTGCTCTTTTTCAGTCCTGCTGTGCCCACCCAGATTTTCACCAGTGTAGATAGACTCAAGAGAGTTATGTGAACAGATGTATTGAACACAAGGACTTGGGGTATCTCTGAGTTACAGAGCTTTCTGCTGCTTTTGCAGAGTTAGGAGAAAGAGGTACCATGTAGATCAGCAACAGAGTAATTCAGCCAACGTTCTTTCACGCTGTAAAATACAATATGAATTGCAGATAAAGCAGTAAATTGAAAGGAAACACAGAATTTTACTGACTTTTGAGCAGGAATACGTTGTTGGCTAGCATAGCAGTTATTATATAAAAGGTATGCTGTCAAGAGTTAGCTGATAGTGCCATCAGAGTATGAAATACCAAATTATAAAGTGGGCAGTGTGTCAGGAAGATGGTATTTATGTGTGGTGGGCGGTTCAGAGGAGCAGCTCAGCACATAGCGATTGTAGATTTGCATATTTTCTCCTTCTGCTTTGCATAAAGAGCTAGGGTAGAAAGCTGTGTGAAAAGTGAGCTCTAAAGATTGTTTCAAAGGGTGAAAAATGTCGTGTTTTTGCAAACCAGGTCTGTAGAAGAGTGTAGGTACAGTGCTCCACTTAATTTACACTAGCAGTGTAGACTCAGTGATGTGTGTTTTAATAGCTAAAAGGCATGTGAAAAGACTGGGCAAGACCAGGCCTGATTTGTTCTCCCCACTTGGCAGTAAGTTGTGTTCTCAGCTTTTTCTGAGGAGCACTGGCATGTGTGGCACGCCGAGTTTCCTCACTGTTACGCTGTGAGTGACAGCGCTCGAAAGGAACTACTGTGTCTGGGGTTTGAAGGTGTTGTCTTCCCTTTATTGTCATGTATTCAAAGAGGAGATTTTTCTGGGCTTTTCTTTTGACCCCCTACAATTCTCAGTTGGAAAAGTGCCCTGGAAGAACAGCCAGCCATTTTTCCAGTCTGTGCCTGTGAACAGTGTTATGAGATTGCTTAGAAACTCTTGAATTAAATACTTTGAAAGTAGTTATAGTTTACACTGAAAGGTAGAGTCTTAATCACTATTAAATATTACTGCATGTTCTTTGTTGAATACCATATGTTAAGTACTTACCTGGTTATTTGTGTTTTTCTTTGAAAGGTGCTATGGGATCTCATCAGCCACAGATTTCAGGGAAATGTGGAGCGCTTGGATACACACAGACATGTGGGAAGAGTGGTAGTGTGGACTCTGATTTACAATTTTTAGGATTAAATAACTGTCAGCAAGACAAAGGTATATGGATTCTAACTGTATCGTAAGCCAGTGCATGTTCCTTTGGAAATGTGTCTTTATTTCTGTGCTGCCTTAAGAAATAAAAGCTGTTAGTACACTGTTGTTCAGTCCCTACTCAGACATATTTGTGTCTTGCTCCTGCGTAGTGCTTTTCACTCGTGGTTATTAATTTGCAAGCCACACTTCTGGTATCTGACTGTCTCAGTGTGCTGTGCACGAAGTGGTGCTGTTGCAAAATCTGAACTTTTTCTGAAGAATTTCTCTTTAGAGTTCTGTTAATGTGTTAGGTCAGATCAGCGCATTCTGCTCAACAGCAAGGACCAGGTCAGAGCCTGGCCCTCTGAGGCTGGTTAACGTGCCTCTTTCAGTCCCAGCTAAGGTCTTGGTGCATGTAAAGCTTTAAATTCTCCTAGTGTTGCTTCAGTTTGTGGTGGTCTCTGTGCAGCTTTTACTGGACAGACAGCCGGGGTGCTGCCATGGCAGGCGTTTTTTGCTGCTGGTTTCAAAGGTGAGGAGAGGGATTTGATTGAGTGCACCTTCACCCCAGAGCTGGAGGCTGAGGTGAATCAGGACCTGTAACATGTAGAAACTTGTCTGTTCCTAAGACAGGTTTCTGTTATTATTACACAGCAGTAGTCGAAATGCCAGGTGTACACTTAGTGAAGGAAGGAGCTCGCTGTCTGGAGGAAGAGACGTTAGTGACACCAGATCTGTGGACAGAGCTGCTGTGAGTGCTCAGATGTGTTGGAGAAGGGATAGAGCTGACAGCCTCCTTGGAAGACATGTAGGAACTTCCTTTACTCAATTTACTTCTGGCCACTTATGGACTCTAGACACTGTCTTTTTCTCATGCCTATGGAAGGAAGGGAGAAATTTCCTCTTTGTTTTTTGTCTCTATAACTACAAAGTCAATGTTCTCTTCTCTTGGCCTTGGTCTTCAGAAGGCTGCCAGGTACTTTGCCCGTACTTGCTGGTTTATTCTCTGCAGACAGTTTCTGTGCCAGGTGTAATTGTTACTTGAGCTGTTCTCTGGTAGTACAACCCACACCTGACTTGGTTGTCTCAGTTTTGCTGCCCCGGGATCCCTGGGGAGCGCCAGGATGCTGCAGCCTCGGAAAGCAGGAGGAGTGGAAAACAGACCTCGGGTCTCATTTGTAAAGGGATTTTTTTATGCTATAACTAAAGGCATAATCAAATGGGGTTTTTTTGGAGTGACACAGACAATTAATAGGTTCCCCAAGCCTGACTCACGTTGTTAATTTTTTTTCCTCCTGGGATGTGCTTTTTCCCATTCTCCCAGTTGTGCCAGTGGAATTTGTGGGGCTGTACCCTGGGTGAGATTGCTGAGGTGATCTGGCTTACAGTGATCCTTCCAGAGGCTGTCAGGAACTTTGTTAGAACTTGTCCTCTTTTTCACTTGCCTGGTTAAAAGCCTGAGTGGGGAATATCCATATATGTGGGGAATATCCATCTGGTTTTCATGGGAAGCAATTAAAACAGTCTTGTTCCAAATCTACACTTACCTTTCCATTTTGACCTACTGGTTTCCGGGGGGGGGAAATAAAAAAAACGGGGGGAAATGGAATGTATAACTTTTGTGTTTTGTTTGTACTCTGTCACCGAGTTTTGAGAGTGGTGTTTGCAAATTCTGTGCTGCGCAGGCTTGGAATATGGAGCAGCAAACAACAGAACCATATTCGATCTGCTTGTGTCATTTGGTTTTTTAAATATAGTTCTTCACAACATGACTGCGAGATAGCTTAGGCTCTAACTCATTTGGTCAAATGAAGGAAAAGGAAGTTGATATTTTGAGGGACAATACAGTTTGCAAAATGAAATTAACCGATTTGTCTGTTTGCTTGGTTAAAATGCTGCCCTTCAGTTCTGACTGTCTGGAAGGTGTGTTATTTCAGTGTCAATTATTATTGTGAGAGCTGTCAAGGAGGCTAACTGCCACAAATACTGTTCTCTTTTTCTTTGCTCAGTTTGTGCCAGCCTAAATTTTTCCAGCAAGACCCAGAGAAGTTATTGCAATCAAGCAGAGCATACAGTGTCCTTCCAAGCTCCTAGTGCAAGCCAGGGGACCTTCATTCTGCCGTCTTACCCTCTGTCATCACCCAAGAACAGCCCAAAGCACATCTCCTCTCCAAATGACTCTCCAAAGAAGTCCCAAGATAATACCATGAACTTCTCAAACTCCTGGCCTCTTAAAAGCTTTGAAGGACTGCTTAAGCCTGGTTTGCAGAAGCAGCTTCTCAGTCAAAAGGCAGGAGACCATACAGGTAGGGATTCTGTCAATGTAATGAAAATGGATTTCAGGTTTGTATTTTGAGCGGCTTTGAGCAGTGGTCAGAAAGCTCCAGTGGCAGGAAAATGGGGAATTAAGCAATGCTCCAATTGCAATTAGAAACGTGAGGGTTTTGTACCTGCCCTGGTCTAGTCACATCACTGGAGGCTGCTTTGAAAAAGTGAAGTCTTTGTATTTTGTCTTAAAGCATAATATGCAACAATTCTGCTTTTCTTAACAGTAATGTATCAGGGGAACGTTTTTCTTCAAACCAAGATAAAAACAAACCCCCAAATCTTTCACTTTTAAAGAAAACTAATACAGAAATACCTGTTACTAATACTCTAATTAATACATTGTACAAGAAAAATATTACTCATTGCATTTTACCTTTTTGCCTCTATTTATATTTGGAAACGTGAGTATCAAATTCCCCACACTCAGGATTGCTCTTTAAAACCTGGTTCAGACAGCTCCATCCCTAATGAGGAGAGTCTGTGCTGATTTCACCCAGACACTGCTGTTCGTGGTCTGATTTCCTGTCTTTCAAGACCTCATGTACACATTGGTTACCCTGAAATAGTTTTACATTTATTTAATTACAGTTGCTTAAACAATTTAGCTGGGTTTTTTTTTTTTTCAAATCCATACTGAAGGCAATCTTACTTTCCATTAAAAATAGCTTTACTGTCTGTTGAGCTTAACCTGATTCCTTGTCACTCCTGAGGGATACCTTCTGTAAGCAAAGTAACAGTTTCCACATAAAATTTTGCACTGATTTATAGAAATCTGTTTTAAATGTCATCTTTGTTGACACCCATATTTTTGTGCATATGTAGCAAATTTCTAAATTAATGCCTTGGAAGTCGTCTGTCCCTGGAGTGCCTGTAACTGTCTTGTACACGTGTGTTCACCACTTGCAGATTTTCTCTATATTGTCCATATGCATCTAATTTTCTGTTTCTTTGGAGTAACTTTGCTATTGTTACAGCACCTTACAGGAGAGCTTGTTAGGACACTAGTCTTTTTTTTTTTTCAATTAAGGAAGCTGATTACTTTTTAAAGGTGCTAAGTGTATGTTTGTATGCACGTGCATAAAACAATATTTTATGTTATTTTAAAAGAAAGGAGACACTAAAAGTAGAAGAGATTGGTAACTGAGATTGAAATGCAGAGAGATGGAAAAGGTAGAGTCAGGAGGTAATAGAAAATACCATGTGAAGAGGCAATGATCCTAATGATTTTGTAAAATTAAATATTGAAAAACATGCACAAGTCGGTGTTCAGGAACGGGGGTTTGGTACACTTGGAAAATGTATGTTGGAGAAGGAATATTGAGAGTTTTTTCAAATGATGAATGGTATAAAAATAAAGTTAGATAGAGAATCACTGTCTTCTCTTGTTCTTGTGAGAAACTTAATTGTATCCCTGTGTGTGTATCTGTGTGTGTATTTATACACATGGATATGTGCCTACCTGCATGGAGGAGCTCAGGCAAGGGTTTGGTGACACCAGGTTTTAATTACAAGGAGGTATTTTTTTGATGCCTGTTGTGGAGATAACTACTGCAGGCTGCTGGAGACACCAAAAGCAAGGAGTTATTGATGGAGGAAGTGGATGTGTGCACCAGGATGGTGGGTCAGCTCATGTCAAACCTCTGACTGAGGAACTTCCTAAATCCTGCCTCAGAGTCAGTTTCTTACCTTGTTAGGGGACAGGCCTTTCATCTGACTCAGTACAGCTCTTTTTATGTTCTTGCTGGTTTTATTTGAATTTGCTCTGACTCAGCCAAACAAAATATCCTTCAAATTTATTTATAATAGTAAATAAAATTGTCTGCATAAGTATGTTTTTTAATACCGCACTGTAAAAGGAGTTTTCTAGTGTGACACAGAAACGAGGCATGGTG